TGATTTCTTCATTAGTAGGACTGACAATACAGTGTTGTGGTTGAAAATGTAGGCTCTGGATGCACACAAATTGAGGAATTGCCCCTGACACTTACTATGAAGCTGGTGACAAATACATTAACCTCTTTGCACTCAATTTCTTAACTTGCAAAATGAGAAAAGGCCGTCTTTTAGAGATCTTCTCACATTTCCCAAAGATGTACCCTCCTTTCGTCCGCTGCACAGTGTGAGAGGCTTCAAGAATGTAAATGATGAGAATAAGAAACAAGGTTGAACAGAAGAAAGCACGTCTTAACTCCTCAACCTTGCAAACTCTTCCTTATTCTCTGTTCTGGTTTAGATCTTTCTTTAGAAGCCCACGAAAGTTTGTGTGTTTCAGGCCAGGACACCAATGCTTAGAAACTGATGACTCTACCTTCATTCCCAGTGAAGAAGGTTAACAGTCACATGTACTCTGTGGCCTTTTCCTCTCCCATATGTTGGCCTAGTCTTTTTTAAAGCAACACATATTAAATTACATATGAGGGTATTGTTTTGTGCTAACCTCCTTGATCCCCACAGACAGCATCAAGCCATTCCTTAACCATGCTTTTCATCCAACTCAGCTTCCAAAATGGAGAAAAACTTTTTTAAATGGAGATTCACAACCAACCAATCGAAAAGGCTGCATTTACCTGAGTCAGGTATGAAAGAACACCTTTTTAACCCATTAGTTGCTAATATAGTAAGGAAGTCTCCTCTAACTCTTACCAGTAAACTACCAATCTGCTTGTGTTCTTCTTTCTGCTTTCTTGAATCCTTTCCTGTCTAGAAAACAAAACCGCAGCTCAGCTCACTGGAGCATTTGACTTTGTAGAACAAGGAATTCCTTCATTCTAGAATTGCAAAGAAAAGCCAAGCCAATTCTTCTACCTAAATGTATTGTCGTTATGTCTTTTGACATCTGCTATGCATAAAATAATTAATACTTTATTTGAACCATGATATATTTAATGATACTAAGAAATCAATAAAGAGATGATGAAATCTTTGACTAGGGTCATGGTCATCATGAAAATAGCAGCCACTGTGTGGAGAATGTGCTTTCTATGCAAATATATGTGAAGAACCCTCAACAGAACAAATGGCTAAGACAAGGTTTGGGGTTATTTTGTGTCTTGCAATACTATTGCATATGTAAACATCTATTGACCAGCAACCTGACTTGGAACAAAAGAATACAAAATTGCAAGCTTGATACAAGGACAGAAGCATAGGACCCAAAAATAAACAAATAAATAAAGGGGAAGAATTATAGGGAGAAAATGCTTTACTGCTCACGGCCAACCCAAAACAAATGTATGGATTGTGAGAGAAAATGCCAAGGAGAGGAATTGTGATAGTGAAGGGGGTATTTATCTTTCCCTCTGCACATAGCCTCCTACGAAGCACAAAGCAGTGGATGTGAAAAATGAATTCCACATGGGAAGAAAGGACACCTGCTACAATCTTGCCCCTGGAGGAATTGAACATAAAAAGAAACTGTAGAAACAATGCCACCATGAATGCTTGAAATGAACGTGCCTTCCCATTCTCCTATCCCCATTCCTCTGCCTCCACTTCTGCCTTTCATGCCAACATCTTTATCAGCTTTTTGTTTTCATTCATGTAACAAAAGCCAAGGAAGAATAGTGAAAATGATTACGTAAATGCAAAAGAAAATGTCTATTTTTGACCAGAAATGACATTACTCTCTGCATTCCAACTGGATCTGATTCAAAGAGCAAGAGAAGGAGGAGGCGAGAGGAGTGAGCTTAATTGAAATATAAAATGAGAAAAGGATATAAACTGTGCTTTCTCTCTTCGACAGGAATGAAATTTACATTTTTTATTTAAAAAAAAAAAAAACAGAACATCTAACATTTCAGCACACAGGCTGCTTCTGTTTTTGCCGCCATCATGAACAGCAATGTAGAGCAGAAGTTGCTTTTGGTTTGAAATATGGTAGACTGGGAAATATTTACCATCCACAAGCATATCCTGAAACTACCATTATACAGATTTGTTTAACCAGAAATTAGGAATTCTAAACGGTCCCCCGAGTCTGCTACAATCATTGACTCAGCTTCTACATTGCTAAACCACTTCCTATGCAAGAGTTAGTTCTGCTACATTAACTATGAAAGGTCATGCAAACCCAAACAGATTTTCCACTAGCCTTGTAATAGGTGTCCTAACCATGCTTCAGATCTACTGTGTTGAGGTAAGGATATGTACGTTTGTTTGGCACACATCTTCAATTTCAACACAGGGACAGTGAAGGCAAATAGATTTCTGTAAATACAAGGCCAACTTTGTCTTTGTATCTTGTTCCAGGACAGCCAGAGCTATATAATGAGACCCTGTCTTTAAAAAATAAGATAGTGAAATAAAATAAAAAAAATAAAGAAGCCAAGAGCCCAGGAACAATCAGCCCTCGTGTCTTCATATTTAAGAACATTATTGTACAGATTCCATTTGACTGATATCATATTTCAGATATCAAGAAATTGTTTCCATATGCAAACATCTTCTATAAACAACTAAAATACAATTATCAAAATGAGTAAATACCTTGTTCAGTAAACTTAGATCTTCACAAAGAAATAAGATAATGTTCAGGACATGACATTGTGCTAAAAGAAATACAAAAGGAATGGGATGTTTCAAAGACGCAAGAGTTGAAACTATGCAAAAACTGATGGAGAGAAGCAAACGAGTCCAGATCTTGAACTGAAATATTCTGGGCATGTAGGTCAGAATTTTGAAGGTTCCATTTGAGCAGTCTTTTAACAGTAAAGAAATATGAAAGACTAAAGCAAAGTTAGCAGTAGAGAAAACAGCAAGTGAATTGGTCCAAGAGCTCGGTCTGAGATAAGGTAGAAGGGACTTGAAGATGAGCTTGCAGAAGCTAAAAAGAGTGCCTTCTAATCTTGTTTTTCTGCCTTTTTCTTTTCTGCCGCTCAGAAAGTGCCGTGTGCTTGAATGAAGATATTCTTTTGTTGGTGGTGGTGTTGCTATTATTTTTATTGCTATTGGTATTAGTATCTTTGTTGTTGTTCTTGCTGTTGTAGAGACAGAGACCTCTGTACCTCAAGCTGGCCACAAATCAGCTATATGGCTAACGTTGTACCTGAGACCGACCCTAATCCTCCTGACTCTATGTCCCATGTGCTGAGATTAAATGAATACAGCAGAACATGAAGCTGAAGTCAGTGGAACTGGCCAGTGAAGACGGCCACCTGAGTCTCAGAGAGCTGAAAAGTGAAGGAATGTCTTCTCCAGTCACTTTTCCCACTGTCCCTCTTAACATTAGGAACTATTCCTTCCCCCTTATGCTTCCAGGCCTGAGGTAGGAACGGCCACCCACTACAAGACGCGTGATTTTGTACCGTGTAGTGTAGTAGCATGGTGTGCTTTCTCGACTCTAGCTGTTATATCTAGTCCCATACATAAATAACCGCCTTTTGTACCAAAGCTCTGACAATTCACTCACAATGAATGTGCCAACCTCATACTTGCCTAACCTCCAAACTTGCGTGTAGAATAGAGTCGTAATTTGCGGTTTGAGTCTCAAGAAGACAATGCACGTGAGATGACTCAATGTACACAGTAAGCACTCTATGATTATCATCTTTAGGAGAAATGATTGACTCACCAATGCACTGAACGTCACTTTAGTGGCATCAAGATTGATGCTTCACAGCTTTCTTGGTTACTGGGCAACAGCGGCCATGCCAAGATGCAGGGGTTTTTTCTTTGTTTGTTTTTTGTTTTTTGTTTTGCTTTACACTGTAAAAGGTAAATGTAGTCAAATAAAATAATGGACTCTCTGCTTCGTCATCCTCCCATGAAAATGCAGAATGGCATGTCGTGAATATGAATAAGATTAGCGTAGACAGTCTGATTAGGTTAGAGCAGGTGTGATTCCACACACAAAATGAAAGCTCATAAAGAACGAATGCTGTAAAATCAGTTTTTGCCTCATTTGTATCCACTTGATAAATGTTAAAAACAAAAATGTTTCAGTTAACCGAAAATTGCAAGCCAGTCACCAAACTGACAGGAAGAGTGGCTCAATTTCCTATACTGAAGTGCTTGTTTGTAAGGAGGCATTAAATATTTGTTTCTCCCAAAAAGGTGGAGATACTGAAATCTGTATGACCAAATATCAGATCTGAACATACACTACTATTTTAGTAAACACTTCATGCTTCTCAGAGAATATTCAAGTGCATTTTCTGATTAATTTGTTGTAAAATCAGGAAGACATTTTTGTTGGGAGAAGGATTATGCAGAGCCCAGTGGTTGACCTAAGCTGTCATTATTAGGGATCCAGATAGTTTGTTTTGTGAGATAAGATCTCCCACTGGGATCTGGAGCTCAAAGATTATACCAGGCTGAATAGGCCACAAGCCCCAGCAATTCTCCTGTCTCTATCTCCTACTGCTAAAACACTCCCAGCTTTGTTCACGGTGTTGGGGTACTCAGGTTTTCAGAGTGCACTAACAGTCATCTCCTGTGACTCTAAATGGGAAAATATTTAAACGAAGTTTAGGTTTCCTATAAACACAATGTATGTACATACTATTATCTAATTGGAATTGCCTCCAAGATCATAAGCTTTATGTTTACCTGGATAATCTCAGGAGAACTTTGGGCAGGAGTTGTGATTTTCTCAATAGGAACTGTCAGCTTGGAGTCACTCAGTTCAGGCCACACTCTTGGTTCCACAAGAGTTCCAGTCAGTGCATGTTTTTTTTTTTTTATGTTAATCACAGCAAAATAAGCAGCTGGTAAACTAGAAGCTTCGAGTTTTCATTTAACCTTGCCCCTTGCAGGAAAATTTAATCATCCTTACAAAATTGGACACTCCGTCTTGAAATTAACATGGCACTAAGTACAAAGTTAGAATTAGAGACTTGAAGTGTGTACTTTTCACAAAGTCCCCAAATTCACACCCTGTCATTTTTCCTTCTTACCTTGAGGGAAGAGTATCTCTATTTGTAAGGTAAAAGTTTCCTTGGGCGATAAATTTACTGGAGCCAGTAAGCAAAGCTATCGGAAGGTTTTTGTCAAATGGCAGATGTCAGAAGTCATCTGATGAGAGGCTGGCTGAAGCAGAACTGGGGAAAGAGAAAACATTTAACTTACATTGTCTATCCTGAGGCTCGAGAATTTTAAGTACAAACCTTCTAATCAATCACTTTGTTTTCCTTCTGCTATCATGGGTGTTCTTTAGAGTTATGGAAAATAATAGGAAAAAAACTTCTTTTCTTCCCTTTCTTTACTTTACTTTACAACCTGGTCTCAGTTCCCACCCCCTCCTCTCCTCCAAGTCCCTCCCTGCACCCCACCCCCTCTGTTCCCATCCCCCAAAACACTCTTCCTCCATTTCTGTTCAGGAAACAGCAGGTCTCCCATGAATATCAACAAAAGATGGCATGCCAAGTTGCAGTAAGGCTAAGTACTTCCCCATGTGTTAAGCCTGGGCAAGGTGACCCAGTATGAGGAGGGGGGTCCCAGGTGCCAGTAAAAGAGTCAGAGACAGCCCCTGCTCCCACTGTGAGGAGTCCCAAAAGAGGACCAAGCTACACAACTATAACATATAGGCAGAATAGCGAGGTCAGTCCCATGCAGGCCCCCAGGTTGTTGGTTCAGTCTCTGTGAACCCATATGAGCCCAGGTTAGTTCATTCTGCGCATTTTCTTGTGATGTCCTTGGCCCCTGTGGTTCCTACAATCCTTCCTCTCCCTCCTCTTCTGCAGGATTCCCTGAGCTCTGCCTAATTTTTGGTGGTAAACATACTTCTTTTTTGTCCCACCAAAACCTGTTAGAATAAACCGCATTTCTGTGCTTATGAAACTTCCTTATTTGGATAGGTAACTGGTTCCTCGCTATTCTCAACTTAACTTAGAATTGGTTTATTCTTCATTCATTCATCTTGAACATCCATTTATATAATGTTTAAGCATTAAAATAGCTTCAAAGGAAAGGATATGAAATTTTATTAAACAGTCATGGATGGTTCTTTTCATGAAGAGTATTAATAGCCCCTGAGATGCAAACAGTATTGCCAAGCTAAGCAAAATAACCATTTACTCACAGTTATATTGGGATTCTGAAAAAGAGGTAGGGGAAAAAAATGGGCCCTCGCCTTTGCCATGCTTTTATTTAACCTAGTACTTATGCTGAGTGTAAAATAGACTATCAAAAACAAAAGGAATAGAAAGTGCCATGATACCAATATCAGACTCTGTGTGTTGTCAAATTCCTCCTGCGTGGGAGGTTAAAGCAATTGCAGCACTTCAGGGAGAAGCGTCGCAAAGGGAATCTGACAAGGGCAGTTTTTCCAGATGAGGGCATTAATGCACATGCATTGTCTGTAGCCAGTAAGCTTGCAACACATCTTTTGGAAATACACTAAACTCGTCATTCTTCTCCAAACATTTTCCACTCACATTCTTTAAGAAATCCACTGCACTGGCTTTTGAGGCACCTAGAGCATTTAGGGTTAACTTCCCAAAGCCTGACAATTTTTAATGACCCAATTTCTAAGTGGAAAGTGAAGAAAAACAAATTTCACAACAAAATCCTGCAAGCACAAAAGCGATGACACTTCTAAAGTAAGCTCGTGCGAAGCTCCAGGGTATCCTTAATGCTCACAGATCTTGTCTTCTTATGGATTTAACAACTGTGCTTTAATCTGCTTAAGTTCTGGTACTCCTATCTTCTTCTATCCCTTTTGATAGAACTAAACAAGCTCCCGGAGACGGTGCTGTCCCTGAGATTGCAAATTAAGGAATTATGAATCAAAAGAAGATAAAGAAGACCTGTGACATTCATAACGTTTATAAATGGCCATCCTGGACTGGTTGAAAGTCAGAGGTGGGCTCCATGGAAGAGAAAAAATAAAATAAGAAAAACGTATGACTCTCCATTCAAAGGTAGAGAGTAGAAAGTAGGGGCTAGAGGGGAGGGAGGAGGCAGCTACCCTTGTGGACTAGCTCTTTTCCTCAGCCAGACTGAACACCTTGAGATATACCATGCTCCCCGTTCCCCCATCATGGTTATCCCCCACCAATGAGTATATATTTCCCTTTTCTTTTTATTATTTTCTCTTTTCAATGATTTATTTAATTTTTATTTTATGTTCATTGGTGTTTTGCCTGCCTTCAGGTCTGTGTGAGTGTGTTGGATCCCCTGGAACTGGAGTTGCAGACAGTTTTGAGCTGCCCTGTGGGTGTTGGGAGTTTAAGCCAGTGCTCTTAACTACCGAGCCATCTCTCCAGCCCCTTTTCAGTATTTTCAATCTGATCATAGCAGTATAATGAATATATTTTGTAATCCTGGAAAATATTTACACTGGTAAAGACAAACATCATGTTATTTACATTAATAGTAGGCCAACAGCTGTTACAAAAATGACCATGATTTATAATAATTTAATCCATATTTCTACAAAATAGAATTTTATTTTTAAATTACATTCAATGTCATGCTTAAGATAAGTGAATCGCATCAAAATGGCAATATTAAAGTATTACTCAACTTATTGTTCAAGTTTCTTATAGTTCTGTGCATCATTCAAAACTTCAGAAAATAATTTATTACCAGGAACAAAGTCTGAGCTTTTGAAACTACATACTGCAACTGAGGTCATTCAGGCTGTCTTGGAAGAGAAATGATGCTCAGATTTGTGTAAATTAGGTTTTCCAACAAGTATACTAGCTTCTTCGAAAATGAACAACCCATTTTGACAAATAGTGCATTTTATTAGAATATGGAACATTCAATAACAACAGTTGAACACGGCTCATTTATAGGCAACAGGTATGAGTACTAGAAAATTTGTAGCTTATCTGATCTACTTCCCTTGAGATACATGTGTATCTAATATGTATTTTCTTACTAAGTGTTGAAACATTTGTGAGGTCTCCGCTGCTGTATTATCCAATAAGCTAGCCACCAGATACACAGGATCAGCTATACATCAGTTTAAAATAATTAAGGTACATAGAATAGAACTAAATAAGTTTACAGCGGCAGTGTCGTTGAGGTTAACAATTAAAATGTTATGATTCAAAAGAAGACAATGTGGCTAATGGACATTGTGTGACATGGTCCATGTTTAGACACAGTCACAACACTTTGGCCAGGACTGGTGTACAGGTTCTCATTTCAAAACTGTAGTCCTTCAGCTTAATCTGGATTTCTGCTTGAAGCTTAAAATTGCAAAACAAGATTCTGTGATTATTTGTATCCACATTAGGCTTCTAGATGTGATGGTTCTCTCTGAGAATTGTGCTAAAATGAAGATACTGCTTCAGAATATCTGAGGTGGAACTCAAGACTCTAAAGTTCAAATCAGCTCCCAGGAGACACTAACTCTGTCAGTTCATAGGCCATACTTCAAGCAAGAATCTAGAGAAAATTAAAATGTTTGAGATCACATAGACATAGCTGAGGTACCAAGACCCAATATATAGCCATAAAATAGACCTCATGAAAAAAATATAACTTAAAACCACTCATTTTGGGGGGCTGGTCATCTAAAAGGTTTGTGCATCCATATGTTGGAAGAGTCTGGGGTGAGAAAAAATTGCTTGCAGATGAAACTGTGTTTCCAAATATTAATCATTGAAATGAGAGGGTAGAAGATATGTGGGTATAAAAAGTATAAATATGACTCAACAAGTATTTATACAACTAAAATGAAGTAGTAAGTGGGCATGGTAAAAAACTGAAATATGATAGAAAGATGAATGACTGACACTAAATTTTCCCGAGGACTTATCATTAGAAGCAACAATTTGGTGAAGAATACCTTGCTGCAGAAGATGAAGAAAGAATTGCCAAGGGAATAAAAAGGCTAGTTGTCTGAGATGAAAGGAGCTGAGAATTTGAAGCAGATGAGAGTACCTGGGTACCAGTCAAAAGGAAAAGATATAACAGGAAATGACTCAGTGATTAAGAGAGATTACGGTGATATATTGTTCATGCTCTAATAAAGCTTGCCTCCAGATCAGAATGCAAATCTAGCCACAACCATGGAGGCCAGGCAGTGGTGGCACACACCTTTAATTCCAGCAGCCACACTATTTAGCCATGGAAGCCAGAAAGTGGTGGCACAGATCTTTAATCCCAGGATTCAGGAGACAGAGGCAGATGGATGTCTGTGAGCTCAAGGCCACCCAGGGCTACATGAGAGTCAATCAGTCTACAAGAGAAACAGCTCATGCCTTTCATCCCAGCACTAGCCAGGAACATACATAAGATAGGAGCAGGGTCTCAGAGCTGGCAATTAGTCTCCAGCCAGGTTGAGGATTTTGGTGGAGAGCATTGCAGTCTACGCAGTCTGAAGAGCAGTGCAGTTTGGAGATGTAATCAGAGGACATGATCACCCCTTCAGTCTGAGCATTGGGAGAGGTAAGAACTGTCTAGTGGCTGGCCACTTTGCTTCTCTGTTTTTCAGCTTTAACCCCAATATCTGTCTCTGGGTTTTTATTATTCATGCTACAAAGCTTCCTGCTTTTCCAGAGTACTTAACAAAATAGCATCTGTGTGTTTCATTGGGGCAGAGAAGGGTGGTGGGACCAGTCAAGCCAGAAAAACCTCAAGTAACAAAATGGCACCAGCAACGTTTGGCATGAATTTCCACTTAAAACTCGACAAAATTTAAAAAGGGATAAAGAAAAAAAAATGAAGAACTTCCCAAGCTCTTCCTTGATTTCCTCAATGTAAGACACTTGCCCTCCCTACCAAAGGCAGAAAGTTGTGGATCTTTTGATGAGACAGGATCTGAAGAGTCGAGCAAGCTGTCCCACCAGCCGGTGCTGCTGTTCCTCGGGGACCCATACGTCTTGCCTGCAGCCAGTGATTTTCCAAATGTGGTCATCGAAGGAGTTCTTCATGGAATATTTTACTCTCACCTGAAGCTCAGGTAGAAACCCTACCTGGCCGGATGAAGCTGAAGCGAGTTTCAATGTCAATGGCAAGAAAACTGATAGCTCTACCAACTTACCTGAAACTCCATGACACCATAGCTCTAGCTAGCGGGAAAATTCACGGTCCTAGCTTCCTTCAGAACAGGGGCGTTCTGAACAACTCTGGTGCCTGTTTTTCAGACCTTGACAATACTCATCTTTACGCCGTGAGGTTTTTTCTCAGAGAGGGATACTGTATTCAGGGGTGCGGGCACCAGAAGAGGGTCCTGGGACCCAGTGTGCTAAGTATGAGGAAAAAGCCACACTGGAAATTGAGTTGTGCTGATAATAGAATGCATTGAAGAATAGAATACATTTAGTTTCCATTACAGTGGAGTTGCCTCCCACCTGCAGGTTGGCCTCCAGCATCAGCTTGAGGTGAAATGGGGTGTTGGCACTATCGGTGAGAGTCCCCTAGAAAGACACTATGTGGGAAGTCTGGCCTCCCATTTTTAACTCTAGTGTTGGAAAGTACGAGTGCTCCTCTGAAGACCAGCTACACCCCTGATGAAGTCCCAGGGCCATTTCCTATAGAAAGTACACACTTTGAACACTAGAATCACACTGCAAAGTTCTTGTTCCAGTTGGAGTCAGGTGTGAGCTGACAGTGGTTGCAACAGGAGCAGATAGACTGTTTGTGTCAGGGTTTCCTCCACGGTGTACATTATCAGGATATTACCACAGGCTTTTGTGTGGTTGTTCTTATAGGTTCCTTTTCACTGGCATCATGTATGGATTAATGTGAGTTTGGTGTTTGCTGCTGTCTCTCCACTGGATGTCACACAGATGGTCATCTTTTGCTCAGTGACAGAGCCCAGCGTGTGTCCCACCTGTGTGTATGTGCTGATGAACAACCTACTTGTGGTTATGGATTTTCATAAATTTAAATGTTGGAGAAAATATTGACAATTGAAAGTACCATGTCATGAATTTTTATTAGAGCCCAAACCTACAGATTGAAACCCTGCTGCAAACCTTTAAAAGATACATTTTTATGATTGATTGTGTAATTACATGTTAGGAATAAAGTAATCAAGTGTTATCAGCATAAAACATAACTAAATGGTGAAGTATTATAGATACTTTTTAATGTTTTTTTGTTACTAGCTATTTTGAGTTAAATAAAAACAAATAAAAAAAAAGAATCTTCCTGACTCAGCATAAGTGGCAAAAAAAAAAAAAGCAAGGCTCTTTTAAGGGGCCCTGCTAACAATTCAGTGGTGTGTTCGAGCAGCTGGCAGTGGTAGTCACCACATCTCCAAGCCCGCAGCATGCTGTTTGATGGCAGCATAGACCAAGGTGGTGAGCACAACTCTCAGTCCTTGCAATAAATGTACCCTCCTCCATCTTGGAAAGACAGCTGCTAAAACAACCATGGCTTTTATTTTAGCAATGTTGTTTAGCAGATAAAAGACTCGTGGCCAGAAAAAAATAAAGATATACAGTAAAGACAGATTCAGAGGGAAAAAGTAAAACCTCTAAAGTTTACAATGTGTTTAAAAATGTACGTAGTCTTGGGAGAGAAAAAGAAACAGGATGAAGTGGTTTTAAAAAAAGAAAGAAAGAGAGTAGCTGGGTGTGGTAGCACATACCTTTAATCCCAGGACTCCGGAGGCAAAAACAAGCAGATCTCTGTGATTTCAAGACCAGCCTGGTGTACAGAGTGAGTTCAAGGGTAGCCAAAGCTAAACAGAGAAACCCTGTCTCAAAAAAGGAAAAAATAAAATTAAAAATGAATACAGTAATAAAAAATGGAAAGTACACAGAGAGTCTGGATACTGTATACTATTAGATTGTCTTTAAATTGTTTTACTGATGAGGAAATAGGAACAATTGCTAAAAACAAAGGCTGCTGGATTATCCAACGTATATATTTTAAAAATGTTTTGACTTCGAAATTTAAGTATAAGGACAGGTTACTTGGGAAAAGAGTTTTTGCTTGTGTTTCCACAGAAAACATAAAGCATTCCTTCCAGACTAATATGGTTTGACGAAGCCTCCCTCCCCCGCACCCAAACCATGTCCCAGGAGCTCCAACATCTAAAATAGCTGAGACAATACAGCCTTACAGACTACAAAAACAAGGACCTGGCCAGGTTCTGTGTTTTTTCATGATTCCCATGGTATGGACAGCGCCCCCACCCAGCAGGAAGCAGTTTGGAATGCAAAACACACAAATTCCCAAATATTGTTTATAATTTTTTTCATTTAAATGGGATTGGTTATAAAATGTTTAATGATCACAACTAATCTCATTTTAGAGGTAAAGGGGGATTATGGCATAGAAATGAATACTTTGTCTTTGAATGGATTTTCAATAGATAGATAGTCTTCAAACCTTTCAAAGACTTACAGAAAATGGCATTTCTGGTTTCCAGTTTTTCATGGCAGTGAGACACAACTGCTTCTGGTTGTCAGAAAGGAGAATGGGCATCAAAGAAACTCATTCTGGAATTTGCTTTCTATATGGTGAGAGTAGCCATTTGGGCAAGAAACCGTTCTTGCCTGAACTGTTTGACTGTTGCTGTATAAACTGGACATGGAGGACCCACAGGAAAGTGACTGCTAAACTTGCAAAACAAGATGGACAGTCCTGAAGGGTTCCTGCTTCACGGAAGAGTCTGCCAGATACTCTGCAGGACACAGAGAAAAATGACTGATAAACTCCCAGTACAGATGGGACAGTTTCAAGTTTCCTTCTTTGCTGAAAAGTCTGCCAGACACATTACGGCCTATGGGCTGAAGATGGGTGCTCCAACATTTGAAAAGAACTTTGGGTGACTGACCAGGCAGCGAGTTGTCTCTGTCAATTCTAGAGTTTATATATTATCCTTCTGTGCTCTTTGATGGAGTTGAAGACAGACAGTTATATTTATTGTTTTCCTTAGTTATGATAATAGATAAGTTACATATAAGACTTTACATTCACAAAGATAAGATAGATGATAGAATATTTTCTTTAAATCTTACTAAATGTTAATGGACTAAATATTGTAACTATAGTTCTTACCAACTGTTTTGTTATATATAAATATAATTTGACTATATTAAAGTTAAAACCTTTCATTTTATTTAGACAGAAAAGAGGAGATGGTGGGGGAGGTCCTTCAGTGCATATGTCTCTCTTACTGGTTAACACAGTTATGGATTAATACTTAAGACAGAGCTAGCAATAGAAGACATAGACATTGGCCAACAGTATTGCTAAAACGGTGACGGGACCCAGGCAGGTATCCTGCAACACATATCAGGTGGCTCACAACTACATTTAACACCAGCTCAGGACACCTGGCAGCCTCCAGGCCTCTGTAGGCACTCGAGAGAGCATGTGCAGATATACTCATATACACAAATACAAATGAATCTTAAAAATAGAAAATACAAAAACAGGTCTTAATAGTTATAAGAATTCCCCCCAAAGTTGAAGAAACTTGGATGGGAAATCATGCAACATATAAAAGGAAAAAAATAGATAGCATAACTCTCCTTCATGATCCTATATTTTGAAAGCAAGCTATTAAAAGTCTACACAGAGGTAACTGGGATTGATATGTAAAATAAAATTGTTTCTAATTTAAATAAAATTTATAAAAAAAATTTGAAGACCCCCTATGGAAGGCCCCACCCTCCCTGGGGAGCAGAAAGGTTATGTGATAGGTAGCACATTAGTTGGGGTGGGAGGGCAGGGGAGGAGGAGAGGAGAGGGACCTGGGATTGACATGTAAAATAATTTTCTTTCTAATTAAAAAAAAAGGGAAAAAAGTATAGTGGGAAATTACCAATACGGAGTCAGGTAGAAATATAAGGGTATTTAATAGGGAAAAGCCTTACTTACAGAGGACCTAGCCAGCTGGCGTGGAGCAGTCTGTACAGCAAGAAGCAAAGTGAAACCAAAAGCACAAATGCAGTCACATTACGTCACTCTGACCACGCCCTCACAAGCGTGGTCAGACACACCTGTAGCCAGCCCCTAAGTAGGCGTGGCTACAGCTTCCGCTAATGCTGCTGTTATTTTTGTTGAATAAACATACATGTCCATCGAATTGTCTTCTGAATACTTATGTTTTGGCCCCTAGATTAATGCTGCTCTCAGCTGTAGTCATAGAAACTTCTTTTTGCAATGGATGGTGGTTAGAGCAGAAATTAATAACTGGTCGAAGATCCGAGAACAAGTGACTGTTTAATACTCGGCTCTAAGTAAGACATATGCTCCAAAAACATTCTGAACGAGAAGATGGACAGAATGTAAGAAATGGAGACTGGGGAAAAGCCTTTGGGGATGCTGTCCTCCAGGTGTGAGGTGACTGTTGTATGCTTGAACCCTCAGCAACTGTGGATTATCCAAGGGAGTCAAGAGTAAGATTGGGCCTGTCAACCTTCATCATGGTGGGGAGAAGGGTCCATAAAGCTTGGCATCCCCAAGGAATTATAGTCCACTAATGGCTGCTGGGTGAAAGGGAGGACATTTTCTTCAGAGGTATAGCTACTGGAAAAACATCCAAGCTCCTCTAAGGAGTCCCTAGTCCAAGCTCCTATAAGCAACACTAAAGAAGGTCATCAAAGACAACAGGTGTGAAAGAAGGGGACCAGTTAGAAGGAGGAAGGGGATCAGCAGGGAGATACAAAGAAGAGTAATGGAAGATGAATAAAGATGAATACGAGCAAATGATGTATATATGTATACTAAAATGTTACAAGGAAACTGATTATTATGCATTGTTAATATGAATAATAGTAATATGCTTTACCCCTGTTCTGGCTAGATTTCTGTCAACTGCACATAAGCTAAGAGTCATGAGATAGGAGAGAATCTCGAGTGAGGAAACCGCTGCATAAGACCCTGCTGTAGGCAAGACCACATAGCATTTTCTTAATTCATAATTGATGTGGGAGGGCTCAGCCGGTGTGGGTGTGGCCACCGCTCTTCTGGCAGACCCGGGTTCTGTAAGGAAGCAGGTTGAGTAAGCCAAGATGAACGAGACAGTAGGAAGCACCCTTACATGGTCTCTGCATCAGCTCCTGCCTCCTGGTTGCCACCATGCTTGAGTTCCTGCCCTCACTGTTTGTGATGGTGAGCTTGATATGGAACTGTGAATGAAATAAACCCTTTCCTCCCCAAGTTGCTTTTGGCCATGCTGTTTCATCACAGCAATAGCAACCCTGATTAAAACAACGCCTGAGCTACAGCCGTAGTCCTAGTTAGAGATGCTCATCAAATGTCCATGGGTCCCTGCTGTCTGTGTGCATGCGCTCATTCTTTATTCCTGCACAGAACCTGCAGGTCCGGAGAAGCCAACTCTGCCACCCTCCAGCCCAGCTGCGGAAACTGATTATTTTTAGTTGAAACTAAATCCACTCTAGTTCGTCAGCCACTTTCAGTATTTCCTTGTGGTCAAATTTGAACTGTTCAGCTGGACTTGAAGCGCTCCCCTCCTCCCTCTGAACTGGGCCATGCAACTTATCAAAACGATACAAGTCTCTTTGGGATCCGTGCCATGAGGTGAATACAGCCAAGCAATGAGCAAGGAAAGGCAGCCAGGGCCACTGGTTGTTCATGTTCTGGACTTGCGATTATATGAGCCAATAAACTTTCTCGGGCTTTGAGCAATCTGAAATGAGTTTCCATTTGATTATTCCTGGAGGCATCCTAGCTGGTACTCACGCTTTTCTTACCCTTTTAAAATCTGGACCTCCAAGAACACTTTTGAGATTCAATCAACAATCGTTTCCTCGTTGTGTTGCCCTGCTGGGGATTGAAGATTTGTAGATAGAGACTTGATTGGGAATGCTTTCAATTCTACGGAAGCATCGAGTCTCCAGCGCACAGAAATTTCCTGGTGATGTGATATGGCAGGACGAGTAAGACTGCAGCTTCCCAGGACCACTGAAATATGTGTGCAACAGAACATTCTCTTCATGGAGGGAAATCTCAAAAGTAAAATACCCTACATCCTCCACCTGAGATTTTGTTAAATAATGAAATCAAGCGAGAATAAACACAGCTACAGCAGGCCTCAGCAAAACAGGGGTGAGTAAAGGGCTGATATGATTTATGTACACGCGGGGGTCTATGGAGAGCATGTTTGCAGCTCTCTGTTACAAAATTCTAGTCATCAAAACTAAGACACGGGCTACTTTGAATCCCAACTGCAGTGTTATTTTTTATTTTCTTTGTATACAGAACCACAATCTTCAAAATTAAGAAAATAAATTGAGGGAAAAGAAGTCTTGTGTGTTTCCTTGGTTTTGTTTGGCCACTATAAGAAAAATCAGTAGACTGGGTAATTTATAAGGAACAGAAATTCATTACTCACAGCCCTGGAAGTTGGCCAGTCCAAGACCAAGGTGCCAGCAGATTTGGTGCCTAGAGAAGAGACACTGGCTGCTTCACAGACAGCATTTTTCAGGCTTTGTTTTCCCATGATGGAAGAAGCAAACAAGATCCCTTGGGCCTGCCTTCATATGACACTGGTCTAACTTGAGAAGCCTCTATCCTAAGACCTCGCCAAATGGTCTACTGCTAAAAGCCAAGTGGGGTTAAGAATTACATTTCAACATAGGAATTTTAGAGGAACAAAATGCTTATCCCACAGCAATGGCACCCCACTTGGTCTTACCAGACTTTGCACTTCCCACACCCCACACCTTTCT